TTCCTTCAGCCTTCCCTCATAGGTCATGTTCTCTAGACCTTTCATCATTCTTGTTGCTCTTCTCTGGACCCTCTCCAATTTCTCCACATCTTTCTTGAAATGCGGTGCTCAGAACTGGACACAATACTCCAACTGAGGCCTAGTCAGCGCAGAGTAGAGCGGAAGAATGACTTCTCATGTCTTGCTCACAACACACCTGTTAATGCATCCCAGAATCATGTTTGCTTTTTTTGCAACAGCATCACACTGCTGACTCATATTCAGCATGTGGTCCACTATAACCCCTAGATCCCTTTCTGCTGTACTCCTTCCTAGACAGTCGCTTCCCATTCTGTATGTGTGAAACTGATTGTTCCTTCCTAAGTGGAGCACTTTGCATTTGTCTTTATTAAACTTCATCCTGTTTACCTCAGACCATTTCTCCAATTTGTCCAGATCATTTTGAATTATGACCCTATCCTCCAGATTAGTCGCAACCCCTCCCAGCTTGGTATCATCTGCAAACTTAATAAGCGTACTTTCTATGCCAATATCTAAATCGTTGATGAAGATATTGAACAGAGCTGGTCCCTGTGGAGCCCCACTTGTTATGCCTTTCCAGCAGGATTGTGAACCATTAATAACTACTCTCGGAGTACAGTTATCCAGCCAGTTATGCACCCACCTTATAGTAGCCCCTTCTAAGTTGTATTTGCCTAGTTTATTGATAAGAATATCATGCGAGACCGTATCAAACGCCTTACTAAAGTCTAGGTATACCACATCCACTGCTTCTCCCTTATCCACAAGACTGTTATCCTATCAAAGAAAGCTATCAGATTGGTTTGACATGATTTGTTCTTTACAAATCCATGCTGGCTGTTCCCTCTCACCTTGCCACCTTCCAAGTGTTTACAGATGATTTCCTGAATTGCTTGTTCCATTATCTTCCTTGGCACAAGTTAAACTGACTGGTCTGTAGTTTCCTGGGTTGTTCACATTTCCCTTTTTATAAATGGGCACTGTATTTGCCCTTTTCCAGTCCTCTGGAATCTCTCCTGTCTCCCATGATTTTCCAAAGATGATAGCTAGAGGCTCAGATACCTCCTCTATCAGCTCCTTGAGTATTCTAGGATGCATTTCATCAGGCCCTGGTGACTTTAGGCATCTAACTTTTCTAGGTGATTTTTAATTTGTTTTTTTAATTTTCTTCTAAACCTACCCCCTTCCCACTAGCATTCACTATGTGAGGCATTCCTACAGACTTCTCCGTGAAAACCAAAACAAAGAAGTCCTTAAGCATCTCTGCCATTCCCAAGTTTCCTGTTACTGTTTCTCCCTCCTCACTGACCAGTGGGCCTACGCTGTCCTTGGTCTTCCTCTTGCTTCTAGTGTATTTATAAAGTCTTCTTGTTTCACTTTATTCCTGTAGCTAGTTTGAGCTCATTTTGTGCCTTTGCCTTTCTAATCTTGCCCCTGCATTCCTGTGTTGTTTGCCTATATTCATCCTTTGTTATTTGTCCTACTTCCCATTTTTATAGGGCTCCTTTTTTATTTTGAGATCATGCAAGATCTCCTGGTTAAGCCAAGCTGGTCTTTTGCCGTATTTTCTATCTTTCCTACACAGCGGAATTGTTTGCTTTTGGGCCCTTAACAACGTCCCTTTGAAAAACTGCCAACTCTCCTCAGTGTTTTCCCCTCAGTCTCGATTCCCATGGACCTTACCTATCAGCTCTCTGAGCTTACCAAAATCCACCTTCCCGAAATCCATTGTCATATTTTGCGGTTCTCCCTTCTACCCTTCCTTAGGATTGTGAACTCTAAATAGAGGAGGATACTGAACTCAGGGTTGTCTGAGGTTCCTTCTAGGCCAAGGGGATTTGATCAGCCACGTTTCTCATACAGGCTGCAGAACTTGCCCTTTGCTCTGACAAATCTGAACCTGAAGGCACTATGGCTGGCAGAGAACCAATCCCAGCCAATGCTGAAATTCCAGACAGAAGATGATGAGAAGACGGGCGAAAAGGTTCTCACCTGTTACCTGCTGCCCCAGCAGCCATCACCCAGTCTCGGTAAGAGGTCCCATGTGAGTGCTTTCCCCATAGTCCCTTGCCTCCTCTGGAGAACTGGGAGAAGGGCTGTGTCCTCTCCCCTTGGGGGTTCCCTTGGGCTGTTCTCTGCTCTGTATCAAACCTGGGCTCCCAGTAGGTGACATGGGGAAGCTCCCCAAGCTGGAGAATATTAAGCTAGCACACCTGTCTGTCCCCCCAGAGCTGCATCCCCCACAGGGCTCTTGGCTCCCAAAGGGGGGGACGCTATTGCACGCTGAGGGCAGCTAGTCTGTGCCAGAGACATGAGTCACATCAGGCTTGTGAAGCTCTCCAGCAGGTGGCATCCTTTTGCTGCTTATCGAGAGGTTAGTCTGTCTGCTGAGTGCCCCACTTCTGTTTCCTCCCCTCTTCCTCCCCAGCGCTGGTAGTGTCGTGCAATCCCCATCATGGCCCACTGAGGGAGGCAGGACCCTGGCGACTGTCTCTCTCCTGCGGCTCGGTGGCTGGGAGCGCTATGATCGAGATGGCCTGGTGGGTGGGGCCCCACATCCTCCTTGCTCATCACTTCTTTCTGCAGAAAATCTCCTGCAGAACAGCGTGGATGAGAGCTGGACAGACACCAACTTGAACCGGGTCAGCGTTATCCAGTTCTTGGATGAGCCCAGAGCAGATGACGAGGAGGAGGCTGGAGCTGAGAAAAGGGTATGAGAAAGACGTGTCTGGGGTTGTCCAGGCCTTTGCCAGCCTCCTGGGGAAATGGGCTCTAGGGATTTCTGCAGGGCAAGGAGCAGTGAGTCTCCCCAAAGGGGGTGATACGGTGTAGCTGCATCTGGGGCTCTTGGCTCCCTGAGGGGGCACCATTATAGGCTGAGGGGAGCTAGTCTCTGTGCCGAGGCATCCATGCCAGAGATGTTGCAACGTGCGGGCTGGCACGGGTAAGAACAGCTGTTGCCGCGAAGGGGTCTACACAGTTTGCACTGGGGACACCTGTTAAGAGTAGAACTGTGGCCACTAACTCGCTTCAGAAAAGGGTCACCAAATGGCCATCCCATGGCGGTGGTTTCAGTCCCTGAAATCCCTGTCCACAGCCTCTTGATCCAGACGCAGTCCCCTGCCTTGGGACCGGAGGGAAACTCCTGTATCCCATGATTGCATATCAGTCGCTTAGCATTAACAGCCTGTGTAAAGTCAGAGAGCCCCGAAACCTGGCTGGCCGGTTTGCTCCAGGCTTCCACGTGGGGAGCATTGTGGGCGCTAGGGAGGTAAAGGGTTAACAGTTTGCAGGGGATTGTACATCCCTTGTGGAAGCTACAGCAATCTGGGGGGTGCTAGAGGATTCAGTAAGACGTGTCCCCGTAGCCGATGGAGAGCCTCTCGAGTGGAGTCTCACCCCTTGTAACAAAAGGAGGTTAGAGCAAGTCCAGGTACCAAGCCTGCTCTAGGATTCCCTGGGCCTCAGCCCCATGATGTGCCCGGTGGCTTCTTCCCACCGCCTGGTGGGGTTTGTTGCTTGGGGCCAGCTCACTCAAGATGGAAGAGCCTGCCCTACAGGCGTGGTGTCCAGCCAGTGCTGTAGTGACTAGTCACACTCACCCACGGCCTAAAGGAATACCCCAGAGACTGAGGGGAGTCTACCTGCATTCTCCCCTCAGGGCTCCTGCTCCTGTAGCACAGAACAGGGAGGATTCTGTCCAGTAGCTGTGGGGCCCAGTTGGGGCAGCATCTCCCCGTGGGCTTGGCCAATGTGCTGGCAAGCGGGCGGATGAGTGGGTGCACAGTCTGAAGGGCTCTTTCTCTGGCAGGGCTTGCAGCGCAGAGCAACCCCTCACCCCAGTGAGCTGAAGGTCATGAAGAAAGTGATTGAAGTTCGGCGCAACGAGATGTACTCTGCAAAGCCCGATGTGAACCCGGATTCTCCCGACTCAGAGGTGAGTTCCCCGCATAGCCGCGGGAGCAGGCTGCAGAACTCTAGATGCCTGGCAGCGCACCAGCTGAGCACTGTGTGTCCTTGCAGAGATCGGAGCCAGTAGCGTAGCCGCCCTGGAACGGGGGCGTCATTGGATTGACTTGGGGGGCAGGCGGCAACCTCCGTAGGCTTGGGCAAAGAGAAGGCACGTGAAAGCCTGGTGCACTGACGGAGTGTGGGTGTCCTGTGCACGGGGGCAGCAAGAGAGGGACAAGGAAAAAGGGCCTGAGGTGGGGAAAGCAGAGGAGGCCAGCTTGCATGTGAGTGGGGCCGAGGCAGCCCGTGTGGAAAGTTGTGCTTCTTGGGGGTGGCCCTAGCCGCAGCCCTGGCTTGGCTGAGTCACTTTCCCAGGTAGCGGGATGGAGGGAGCTGCAGTGCCATGGGGGAGGCCGGGCAGCCCACTGAAGCAATTGGGACCCTGCTGGGCCTGTGTGTGCCTGTCAGGGCTGGTCCTATTCCCCCCTTTTAGGTGCCCTTTGGCTTCTGCCTTGGTTCTCACTGCCTGTCCCACTCCCCCAGGAGAAGCGGCTGAGCGCCATGTCCAGTCGCAGCGAGGACGATGGAGGGAGCTGCAGTGCCATGGGGGAGGCCGGGCAGCCCACTGAAGCAATTGGGACCCTGCTGGGCCTGTGTGTGCCTGTCAGGGCTGGTCCTATTCCCCCCTTTTAGGTGCCCTTTGGCTTCTGCCTTGGTTCTCACTGCCTGTCCCACTCCCCCAGGAGAAGCGGCTGAGCGCCATGTCCAGTCGCAGCGAGGACTCGCATGTCTCCAACAGCACCGTCTCTGCCAACTTCAGGGAGGAGGAGGAGGTGGGGGCAGGGGGCACCAGGCCGAATGGACAAGTGCCTGAAAAGCAGGAGCTGGAGAGCGAGATGAAGCCCATGGCTGAGGAGGAGCAGGCAGTGGAGCCGGCAGTTGGTCACGAGGAGGAGCTGGAGGCGGAGTACAATGAGGTAGGAGCTGCACTGGGTTGTGTTGGGGAGGGTCCTGATGGGGCCTGTCTGGAAATCCCCCAACGGCCGAGCCTCAGTGAGATGGCTGGAGGTGTGGCTGGGAACGACAGGTGGGGTGGGAGCCGGGCAGAGGTTGAGGCCCATGGAAATCAGGTGGGAGTGGAAGGCTGGGGGTGCCAGGACCCTGGCAGCGGGGCTGGACGTTGCGTGTGTCGCAGATGGCGGCTGTCACTGTGTTGTGGCTAGGACCAGAGTCCATTCGTGGGTGTCTCCTTGTAGCCCTCCGTGCATTTTGCGGAGGACACCCTGGTCCGGAGCGAGGAGGAGGACGACGACGACGAGCGGCCCTTCCCCGTGGAGAAGCAGCGGCTGATCCGCAAGGACACCCCACACTATAAGAAACACTTTAAGATCACCAAGCTGCCCAAGCCAGAGGCAGTGGTGGCGCTCCTGCAGGGGCTGAGCAGTGACGGGGTGCCGGAGGAGGAGGAGCGGGGGGGCTGCAGTAACAGTGTGGAGCCCCCAGAGCAGGAGGAGGCCTGGGACGAGGACAGTGTGAAGGACGGAGCCTTGCCCACGCAGCCGTCAGTCAAGGTAGGGCCGTGGGGGGTGCTGGACAGGCTGGGCCCTCCCTGCTGCTCCTTGCAGCCTGTCCAGCTGAGGGGAGGCAGAGGCTGGGGATCCAGAGCCGCAGATGGCTGCGCTTTGAGCTGCAGGCCCCCGGTGTTGACGAAGCAGGAGAGGAGAGACTTCGGAGATGCTCTGCTGTGGGTGTCTTGGGGTGAGTGCTTGCTGGTCTGGAGCCTAGGCAGCTCTCCAGGCTCTCCTCCCTGTGTCCGTCCAGACTGTCTCAGCCCTCGCTGTTCGATGTGTTCTCGTCCCCGCCCCGGCCTGACAGGCTTTCTCCCCCCGCCCTGGGCCCAGGCGCCTGCTGGCGGAGCGGGCAGTGGCTGCAGAGTAGCCCACACGCGGCTCTCCCGTGGCCTCAGGAGCTGTGCGGCTCATGGCTTGCGGGGAGTGGTCCTGTGGCACGTAGAGGGGACCGTCCTGCTCCTGCTGGCCGTGCTTGGCAGGCACGTGGGGGAGGGGTTACCGTGGAGATGGGCCGGTGAGGGGGTCAGCTGGTGGCTAGGTTGGGGGGCAGGCCAAGGCGGAAGAGACTGTTACGGTGTGGGGGAGTCTCCACTGTGGAATTGCCCCCGAGATGCCAGCTCTTGGCTCTGTGCCTTGGAGCCGGTGGAAGGTCTTGGGCTGATGGCTAGGCGGCCTCTGTCCTGTGTGGCTGACCAAAGCGAGGCGGGTCTCATTCACTGATGTGGCTGCCTCCTTGTTTGCCTGCACTGCTCCTTGGGGCTCCCATGGTCCCCGGCGCCTGGCCCCTCTCTGGGCTGCAAACGAGCCTGGACCTGCTGTGTGTGAGGAGTGCCCAAGGCTGCAAGCGAGTTCAGCTGGTATCTGGGCCGTGGCTGGGACCAAGCAGGCCGCCAGCCTGGCACCATGGCTTAGGGCCCCTTTGGCAGGCAAAGCCTGCTGGAGATCATGTGGGCTTTGGAGCCACAGCTGCTGTCCCCCCCAAGTCTGTGCTGCTGCCGGTTGAGGCCTCTGCTGCCCTTCTCCAGGCCCTTTTCCAGACAGGCCTGACCTCTTCTCTAAGCTGCTTCTCCTGTGCCCCTGGGGAGCTGCAGTAGCCACACGTGTTGGAGGCGGGACAGCATGGGTCAGGATGAGGAATGTCCGGGAGTCTCCAACCTAACCAGAGCTGCCTAGGGACGTCCTGGGTACCTGCGATGGGTTTGGGAGCAGGAAACGTGTGGCGTCTGGGAGGATGGGCTGTTGCACTGGTGGGTGCAGAGTAGCCTCTGTCCCCACGTGGTGCCGCTAGGCCCGTCTCTCCTCCCTCTCGTATCGTTTGGTCCGTCTGCCCTCCTTCGGTGGGACACAAGGGGTAACGACGGCAGCCGGGCTCGGCGTGGGAGGCTGGAGTTGGGCCCTGAGTGCCAAGCGCTGGCCGTGTGGTCCCAGGCCATGGCGTTCGGAGAGTGGCTTCGCAGGGCTGGCGTTCTGGCTGGGCTCTGAGTGTTGCTAGTGGTGTGGGAGCGGTGCTGTATCCCCGTGCTGTGCGGCAGGGCCTGTGGCTGAGTGCTGTGCAGTCGGGTGGTGGTGGTGGTAATGGTGGCGGGTTTGGTTTTTGCTCCACTAATCCGCATGCCTCTTTGCTGGTTCCTGTCCTAACAGGGGGTGTCGTTTGATCAAGCCAATAATCTGCTGATTGAGCCTGCTCGCATTGAGGAGGAAGAGG